CATCCAAGCCTGCCCAGAGAACCATGTCATCTATAATCTGGCACCCTTATACTTTAGACACCTAAATCACTTTCTAAACAGAATGATAGAAATAAAATATTAAAGTGAAAAGGATATTTTTTAAAAAATATATATGCAATTTAAGACTCATGGACACCTTCTGTTCCACCAGGAAATGTGAACTGTGCCTTCTGCATGCAATCAAAATTTTGAGTTCAAACGTGTGTCAAAGATTGCATATTTTCACTTATATTACTGCTGTTCCATCTAAAAGACTTCTGCTGTAAGATAATCTGTTTTATTGGTGAAAAAAACACAGTCAGTTTTAACATTCTAAAGCTGTAGAGGGCCAATACAAGAGAAAGTTGAGAAATTCTTAGCCAATAAGTATTTAAAATTTAGGAACTTGGCTCATTTGACAAAGGTAGTTCATACGACTCTTGCAATGAGCAAGTTTCTAATTTCAGAATGCTGAAAGCAACCATTTAACACAATCCTAGGAGGAAGGGGGGTAAAACTGCATTTCTCTGGTGAGTTTGTTTTCCAACATTCCTTTTCCAACCAGTAGTTTTAATAACATTAAGCAGTATTCTAAAGAAATGCTCAAGGATATAAGTGGAGTCTTAAATGAATTCCTCAATGTGGTTTCTGTGCACTTAAAACATCTCATAGATAATACCTCCCTCCAGGAAAACACATCCTATTACGTATAGAAATTGCTTTTATCAAGTTCTAAGGGAAATGGTCTCTGCCTGCTTTTGTCCTTAAGCAACTAACATCAGCTACAGAAGGGTTATGAGCACAAGAAAAAGTGCCAGAATCCTTTCTGTTACTAACATGAGCACACACTGTGAACACTGTATGGAAGATTTCCATTTTTAGATGTCTCTGCAAAGTAAGGCCTCTGCTGAATGTTCCTGTAGAATCTAACATTTGGGGGAGGAGAAGATAAAGATATCGTAACACCCTGAAATACTATACTCCATGTGCTGCATCTTCTAGTTTGCTACTGACTCAGGGTAGAGCACAATTTTGGATCTTCAAGCAGACACTCTGTATACAGAACACTTTAAAAACCAAAAGCTTAGTACTAAAGGTTATTTCTCTAATGTCTATCTATATGAAGCTCCTGTTCATAATGAAACGTCCCAGCAGCTAGCAGAGCCAGCAAAGCCTCCCTCCTCCCACATGCAGCTTTCAGGAATACTTCTATGTTGAAAAGGCAAAATTATCATTGCCCAACAACATGCAATTCCACAACAAAACTGCACTCCAAATGGCTTGATAAGAGAACAAGTGTATGGATTTTTACAGACTTGCATCACCTCCAAGGTGTATAAACTGCCACAATGCTACTCAAAGAAACCAAAACTCTAATGCTCCTGTCCCATATTCTGTATTAGTTTGAATCTTGCCGTAAAGAAAGTTGCTGCTGAGTATTTTTTTAACTGACAGAAATTAACATGTTGGCCAAAAATTATATCTAATTAGTCCCTTAGGACCTTTTAGCTACCTTCAGGATAAGAAAGCCAGAAACAATGCTGGTATTACAAGAAGCTGCAAGATACACTACACTAAATTATTTTCAGATTTCTAGAAGCGTAAACAAGAGTGCATTTGGTGTTATAATTTGCCTCAGTTTGGACAGTCTCCAATGTTTGGACTTGTGTTGGGAAAGTTTAAGTTGACATAAGTCTCACATCAGAAGAGATTCAAGGTGAACATAAAAATTACAGTGATTTAGAACCACAACTGAATTTAATTTTCTAAAAACACTTTCATTTTATCTAAGAATTAAAAAAGGTGCATTTTAACAATGAAATAATCTGATGTAATGGCAGATGATCCTAGAATGACCTGTTGCACTTACTGCCACTACCTCCAGCCTCGCGCTTCTTCTGTGCCAACTCCTGCACATGTAAGCCATAAGCTCCTAGTGAGATCCCTCAGGGAGTTAATCCTGCAGAAATTAAGCTCTGCAGGAGAAAAGTGAGTACTTTCTGCAGGTTCAGCTCCCTGAATGAGCCCACCATGAGTCGCGCGTGTCATCTGCCAGGCCATCAGAATGGATGGCAATGCCTAGTGGAGTTGAAGAGGGGAACAAGACTGTCTCCTTGTGGTAGAAACTATCCATTAGCCCAGCCAAAGGACAGGCCATAGTATTGCAAGACTGCAAGTGCACACTGTTCATAAGTTTTATTACTCTGTTATGAATTTGCCGGCTACTGCTGACTTTAAAAATAACTTGAGTAACACTTTTAAGGTATCTAAAAATACAGATCCATTGAGAACAAGTGGTTTCTAAAAAACATTTAGTATTCTGAGAACCAGGGGTTTTTGAAAAGCACATTTGATATTCTAGCTTCTTAAAAAACTCTATGACAGCAACAAATTAAGATTTAAACGATGTTCTTCAAATAACTCCAAGCAAGTATTCTCACAAATACCTTACCTCCCATGTTTCTGTTTTTTCATTGCAAAATCTGTTAAATAGATTCTGAAGGTCATTTCCACAGCTCAGGAGGACTTGACTAATGTTATGATAAATATTCTTGGAGAATTGTTTGTGGGTTTTTTTAAGCAACGAAATAAGTGTACCATGACTTTCATGGATGTTGCCATCTTTGGTCTACATCCAAACACATGCTAAAAATAGTAAAAACAGAGTTATATTAAACCAGCAAAGTACAAGGTGTCTTGATGTAAAATTTAGTTTACATAAAATAGAAAACTATTTTTCCAGCAGATGTAAATTAAAACAGCTAAGAGAAAAACACCAGACAAACTGCACCCCACCTTAAGACACTGAACAGTTGGTATGTATGTATTATGTAAGAAACTGATCCCAGTGAAATCATGCCTGAGATACCACTCTTAGAAGCAAAAATCACAGGTCTGAGTGTATGAATGAAAATTAGGGGAATATAAAATTTTTGATTAACTGAGAATTTAAGTTGGTTACTAAATGATTACATTAACTTTTAATTTTGAGAGCAGACAGGACACATCCAGAATAATAGCAGACTTTTCTTACTGTGTTCAAGGTACAAAATAACTGTTTGAAATACCTGAATGCTTCAGGAATTCGCAACAATTTTTAAAAAGGCAAAGACTCTCAATATGCCTTTAAATCACCAAAGTACCAAAGCAGGTTTTTAAATGGTTTCTTTTCTCTCACTGAGGTATCCCAGAATTATCTTAAAGTTATCTGCATACAAAGAACACTTAAAGACTTCAAAAATTTCTGTTCTCCCGTTTCCATTATGCCAACATCATCAAGCACTCTCATTCCAGAGACAAGAAAAACAGCCATCTTTTTATAACAGCAGCTATCGCCTCCTGAAGTTCCAAGAAAAAAGATGGAGATACTAGGCATCAGTTTTGCTGCAACTCATCAACACCAGATAAGACTTATAAACTAGCAGCACTAGGCACACAGAACACCTGGTGCTGCAGGCTGGAAACAGCAACACCAGCAAGATAGTTCTCAAGGGTATTCATTATTATTATATTAAATACCATCTTGTATTTCCTATTGAGATACCAAGTTCATGTATGGCACCTGAGTGTATACATACTTAATAGTTCCATGAACACATATACTTCCCCTAAACATAGCTGAATATAAATTTTTCAGGTGTTCCTTCTCAAGTTGTATCTAATTACATCTCAGAACTCTGCTAAAGCAACAGCTGTCTCCTAAGGAAAGTAGTAATTGCAGCATGAGAATCAGGGTTGTACTTGCTTCCTGCTTTTTACAGTTACTATTCCAAAGGTGACCTCCCCCTCCTACCAAGTATACTAATATCTGGAATTTAACAGAAAAACTTATAATAAATACCTAGGAAAAAGGGAATAAATAAATACATGCATACATAAATAAATAAATAATGCATACCAAAGCCTGAAATCCCGCTGCTGGCCACTGTTATTAGGTAGATAGATAGATAGATAGATAGATAGATATTCGGTAGATAGACACAGAAGATGTCTGTGACTTCTATTTCAGGCTTGCCTTAGTTTTTTCGTATCTTTTAAGAAAGCGTTTGCTCTACATTCAAAAACTAATCCAAGCCCCCATTTGCTATTAAAGACCCAAGAAAAATTTATACCTCACCAAACTTTATTAGCGATTATAACTTTCTAGATTTACATCCCTATTTTGATGTACTAGGTCAACTATGGAAAAATAACCAAATAAAAGCAGTGGTGATACACACAGATTACACTACACTTCCTACCATAGTTACTACTGATGTTACAATAGCATAACTATCAGAACGGTTCTGACACACTAACAATCATGTTGTCTCGTGCCACAGATTCTAGTTACAATGCAAGTGGCAGAAAACACTACACCCACATTGGTAGTAGCCTTTTTGCAACCCTTGGTAGCACTTCATTGAAGTATGAGGAGTGGTGGGAAACTTTCAAGGGGAAAAGGATAACTAAGACAAGGCAACCAGCTGCCCTTGTAATCTGCAATCAATCTTCAGAGACACTTCAGGTCATGAGAAATTTCAAGAGGACAACCCTTTCATAGTTCTCTTCCCACGGTCAGAAAAAATAACACATGGAAAAGAAATACTCCATGAAAAAATGACTTTTTCACTAACTTTTATGGTAACTTGCATGTAAGCCAAACAATGTACAAGGGTATCAATCACTTTCCTACTTAAATGCCTTTTCAAAGTCGTGCACAAACTTATAGGCATGTTCAACCAACCCATATCAGCTGACTCATGTACTGTTTTCAGATATTGGTATCTGCAAACCTTTTACCGGATTTAGCATCATTGCCTGAGCTCAGATGACTCAGATTAAAACAATGTGAAAACATAGTTTGTTTTCATGATTAAAGTCTCCATTGGTCTTCCTGCGACAATAACAGGAAGAGCTGTACGGATCGATATGGAAGATTACTAATAGGGACTTTTCTTCTCCTATCCAATGATACGCACGTGAAACTTTCTTAACCAGGTAATACATGTGACGCTTACCAGATCTCTGTGAAGCACCCAGTTTGCATGGAGGTAATGGATTCCATCGAGGATCTGGTAGAGTAGGGATTTAACCATAGATCTTGGCAACTGCATGGGCTTTTTATTTGCTTTTGAGGCACGGTGAAACTTGATAATATGCTAGAAATAAAACAAGCAGAAACATGAAGCATGTTATATAAGTTTTTTGTTGCATTTTTTTTCACAAACTATTAACACTAAATAATGGAATGAAATTCAAAGATTGTTAAACTTTGCAATTGAAAGTAATAGTGATGTGCTCACAATTTTCTTAAAGTGTTTTTACTCTCTGAGTTGCTTTAAAAACACAGCTGCCAAGCTTTTGTTACTATCTAAAGACTGGCTACTTACCTTCAGTAAAGGGTCTCAGACTTTCTCCTCCCCCCCTCCTCCCCATTTGGGATCCTCTTATCCTCAGCAGCTAGAGCAGAAACTTCCAAACCAGCAGTATCTACCAGAAAGAGGACCACATTCTGTGCTTTCACACTTTCCCTCCTCCTCTCCAAAAGCATCAGGACACTGTACTCTCAACTACTTTAGTGTTACCCCCCTGAATCAGAAACCCAGTAAAGAGAGATTAAATAAATACTTAAATAAATTGGGAGCAGGGGGCACACAACAGGACACAACTTCAAAAACCCCACACCACATTAGGGTGAGATCATGTTCAAACATCTAAAAATGGTTATATTCTTGCTTCCAAGTTTCGGGTCTATTACTTCACTGATGATGACCAGCTAGTGTTTTTTGGATTACAGAAGTCAGTCGGCTCGTTAGAGGACAAATACCACTTGAAAACAGGGAATGCAGAAAAGGAACCCAGCATTAGTCAGTTGAAGAATGAAAAAAAGAAATTCATTAAAAGATTACTGAGATATCATGAAATATTCATAACCTAATTAATATTCATTGTAAGATCAACATGGAGATGGTGAGTTAGGCTGGTTTTGCTACTCGGTAGAAGAAATAAAGTGGGGTCAGGCCACTCTACCTTTTCAAACCTCAGACAAGGTGGGGCTATGCAAGGCACAAACCCAATCTTAACATATTGCCATTCAGTGAACTACTAAATCTATTCGTTCTGATGAAAAAAAAGAAAAAATCTCCTTTTTGAAGGCAATTCAAAGAAGCATCTCAGATAACAAAAGTTTTCAATTATGTGCTTTTTGAAAGACAGAAATAATAAAGGCAGTTTGCATTTTTAGCGAAAGCAATTCAAAATGCTAATTTGCAGACTGACATGACTACTAATTACCCCGTTTTTAAACAGCATTTGCCTAGTTCAAGATCATCCCCCTCTCCAGGTTAAAGAGGTAGCTAATGGCTGTGCTTTCATTAGATCTCTGCTCCCTCCACCATCACCACCCGCCAAGTCTGTCACTACTGTTCCAAATGCAAATGGTAACAGGTTAATGTTTCCTCATGGTAAATGCTACCTCTGGCTGTCACCAGTTCTCTAGCTGCTGCCAAACTGTGCTTAGCAAAGGTGTAGACAATACTGTTTAAAAAGAAATTTAAAAAAAAAAAAAAAAAAAAAAAATTTAATTTAAAAAAAAGGCTCCCACTGAGCCTTCCACACTGCACGGACAACAGTGATGGCTGAATATTTTAAAAAGTACAGAAAAGAAAGCTACATGATTACCAGTTTTTAATACCCAAATGAGCATCAGTAAACAAAACAAGAGCTTAGTACCTGATCCTTTAATTATGCAATCACTCTGAAAACTATAACGAAAAACCTCAGCGGATCATTTCCTTAGAAAAGTTTTTTCTTGTCGTATCACAAGAAGATTGTGTCAAAACTTCAACTTGGAGTCCCTGCCTTCCAGTACTGCACAATGCTCACCAGGTAATGACCTTCATATGTAATTACAACATGATTTATAAATCAGTAATGATACTATAAACTTCCAAATGAATACCTTTATTAATACATGGTATAAAAAAATAGAGGAGCACCAATGGGCAAAGGTCACAACACAAAGACACATAAACCCAGCCCTTTTTCAACATGCATGTAATCACTAAAAGCATAGCGTGGGGGAAGGTTTTTTCCTGCAGCAACTCATAGCAGCAGCATCCCCTTTCTTCCTTTCATTACCAAGGAACACTTAAGTGAACTTTTGAGGCAGATAACCTGCCCTTACACTGAACTTTAGGTATGCAAGTTACCTCTAAAGCAAAGCTAGTGTAACTAAATCAGCACAATGCTAAGCTAAGTTACCCAACCAGACTTGACAGCTGAGGCTTCCCACCACACCGACCAAAGCTGACACACGTTCCAGAAGATGACAAAGCCTGCTCTTATTTGCCTCTGAAATACCACTTACACGCATTTTTAAAATCATCTTGTTTTGATGCTTGCTTGTCCCAGTCAGAAAGGCTAAGAAAGCAAGCTCCTTTCTTGAAAGTTATTGAATTGCAGAAGTGAATTAAAACTGATAGTTTTAAGTAAGCATGCACTATCACTATTAGATAAAATTAAATTTCCTAATAAAGCAAATAAAAAATATTGTTGCCAACTTACTCTCCTGAAGTGTATATTTGTCAAATCAAAAACTTTATCCTATCACAGTTTAGATTCAAGAAATGAACAAAAATTAAAAACATACTGCAGGGCCAAATAATACAGGGAACTGAAAAGCTGCATTTGCCTCATGCAGAATGAATCCACAGTGGTTGTGACCAACTCCTACCCTCAAGTGTTTTGTAGAAAAAGCAGTTCATCCAATTTCTTGTAGGGAACTACCCACACAAAGACCAATATACATACCCAGTGCTAATCAGTAATTTTAATGGCAGTGGGCATCTAAGAAACTGAAGGGCACACCAGTACCATTATGCTAAAGGAATTTCTTAAGCAATTCTGCTGACTTTCGGAGGGTAGGGAGATGTGCTCTGAGTCAAAATATTTAATACTTAAAATTCAAAACCCCAAGTGTAGAAATGGATGCAAGTAAAAGCACAAACTAGTATGTTCTTTATACAGAACTGCACTACGCAAGTGATGAGGCACTCTCTACTAGCTTCACTTCCTGAATAGTCACAAAGTACAGCCTCAAGTACAGCATATAAAGGCTATAATCTTAGACATAATAAAGGTACGAATAACTTACAGGAATTACAGGAATTGTAACCTGTTTCCCGTTCCCTAGATGACTCCCCTAACCAGTAGGCTTCAAAACCACACTCCTCCTTTCTCTCATTCAATAAATCTTTTTGCAGAATCACAGAGCATCAAGACTGCCCCGCAAGTCAGGAGTACAGATTTGAAACCTGACACATAGAATAACATTCTGCATCTCTCTCCAGGAACCAGGAGGGGCGTTTGGACACTGCAGCTTTAGGTATGCTCAAGTTCTTTGCTGAATCTTACGCCTAATGGATAACCACTAAGAATAAAGCATAAGGACTTCCACAATTCACTCAAGTCAGAGAGGAGTGTTTGTAGCAAGACAGACAGAATGAAATAGCTTCAGCATTCTCCACATTTTTTTTCACTGTTGCTCTCTAATGATGACTTAATTCCCATATTCTGATAGATCACCTGGCCACAAAAGCTGGAAAATACCCAGGCGCTTTCACCAAAAGTTTAAGGAAGCCTTAATTGTCTGTTCCCACCATTCCATTCACAATGCTACAGAACAGAAACCCACCCGCACCATTATCCAGTCATAATTTAATTTAAATTAGTTCATTAGAGCACTGCAGATGCAAGCTTTCCTTCTCGTATATCTAAAAAGCTTCAAAATGAAAGAACACGTCATATGAGGCAAATGAAATTCCAAGCAATATTCAAATCTATTCAGCAAAAGTAGCCAAGTTGCTTTTCCCTTCTGTGCATCTGTATTTTCATATTCCTAAATCTTAAAAGCATGCTGACCCTGACTGGATTCCGCAAACACTGTGAGCCAATTAAGGATTCACTTTTGAAAATAAACATAATGTAAAAATATTTCTATTGCTTTTACATATTTCGTTTTAAATTCAAACAAGGCATTAACTTTGTGGCAGTGGCTTTAAGTCTATACTCTAAATTAATACTTCACCGAAGAACATTAAAGAACACAGAATGGAATTTATTAATATTCTACAAAAGTAATGAAACCTCCAGAAGCATGCTATAATTTGTTGTTTGCAATATCTGAGACTACTGGTTTTGTTTCCTCACTGCTTATTCCCAATTTCCAACTCCAAAAAATAAAATAAAATTGAGAGGAGAAACAGATGAACTGGCTTATTTCAGCAAGACCATTTCAGCTTTTGCAAAGGCAAGACCATATAAACAATAACAGAAAGAAATTAAGAGCTAAGCATTTGGAAAGAAAATGCAGTGGTGACTTATGAAACAATATTCAATCTAGTCTTCAATTGGCTTTCTATGTTACCTAATGTGTTGAGATTGATGTGAAAATTGGCTGATGAAAGAACTATGTACATTTTCTAAATCCTTCACCATAAACAATGCATGACAATATAGAACAAACTCATTTGGTTTCATGAAAACCCCTAGTATTTACCAAGCAGTTAAATAAGCATTCAAAAAGATCCTAATTTGAGCCTGCTTCAAGGAAGCCAAGCTGATGCAAACATACTCTCTGTTTGTGTGGTCTCATTCCTGATTCTGAGAATTGCTCTTCAGTATAACAGAGGTTAAAACAAACAAGTCAGACCTGGAAAATCTTCGTGGAAGCAAGAAGCCAGCTAAAAGAGAGATTTTATGCATGTCTGACTAAATGCAGATACAGTGTGAGGTCCCACCTAAACAGATGGGATGATTCATAGACCTCAAGGCACAAACCCCTAGAAAACCTTACTACTTGAGTTCTACTGTTTAAGGCAATGCTTGTTTCAAACTTCCATGCATCTCCACCAAACGAAAATGCAATCATGTCAACACAGATGCTTCTCCCCACTGAAATAAACTGTCTGCTCTCACACTTAAGCAAAAATCTTTCCTTCCATCCAATCCCTAACCCAACCTTTGAGAATAAAACAGAATTATGTCAATGCACCAATATAAAGTAAAATCACATTTTAATATTAAAGAGATGGAAGCTTGGATGCACATTAAATCTGTGCCACGGTCAAGAGGAAGATACAGATCATAGAGCTTCAAG